TTATTACTTTCGTCGCCCTTCATATATTTTGTAGAATGTTTTTATTTTTGTGTGTCGTAAGTCAAGCCTAAGCCTGCAATACATTTCTCTACAACCAATAGGAAATATACACCGTTGTTTTTGATGACCACACAATCGTGTATCGGTATATTCTGTATCGAGTATCAACTTAAGCAAAAATGGAAGCACTTTACCGTGCGTCGTTTTCATTATTGGTAGCACATGCTCGTCTTGATAGGAAGAAATTGGAAGGAATCAAAGCCTGGGGGTTTGATTCCAGTGTGGGTCTCCTGATATGGTAGTGTTGTGCCTCCTCATTTTTTTTATACCTCGAAATCACGAAAGTCACTAAGTAGTTGTTTTTGGTAGTTAATGGCTAATAGATGGTTAACGATCGGCGATCATGTCAATGATATTTACTACGCACAATGCAGAGTTAAAATGATAAATACAATGATATGTTGTGTAATTCATGTAATTGGTTTACACTCTCCCCTTGAGTGTTATATGTAAACTAACTAGAAAAACCCAAAGTTCTTTATATCGGTTTCCAACAATTCACACACGTCTTCATCAGAAACGCTTTTTATATGAAGAAAAGTAAGATAGGCAATCTATTAAAGCAGTTGAAGTAATTATCTTTCAAACTTCTGTATTTTATTTCATTGTAGAGATCTAAAATTGTAGCCAACATCAAAATTGTTAATTGAGGCAGTCCAACACCAACTCTAGCAAAATAACAATTTGTTCTTATACAATTTAACTGTAAAAACAAGAATTTGTTAATCAACATCAGATCTGCAACAAAATGCATCTATTTTGTTGATAAGAAACAAAATAAATCACCTGCAGCATAGCTGTAAAAACCAAAAACATAGAAATATAAAGACAAACATATAAACAAACATATAAACAAACATATAAACAAATCGAACATATTATTTTATGTATGATCAATGCTATTTTGTTAGTGAAGTCAGCAATCAAACCAATAGCGAATATGTTGTATTTTTCTTAAATAAAATCATATAGAAAAAACTCTTATATCAGAGCAAATGCACACATAGCTTCTAGTTCATGCGTATGTAAGTTTCTTGGGAAATTTTTTCTACTCTTTTTTTTATTGCACACTTACTAAATATATATATGCATGGGTAGGTGAGACAATATTTTTGAATGTGATGCTTGGATTTTGTTTGTGTGCTTTTTTTTTTCTTAAAATATATGACTGGCTTCGTGTGCATGAAATGCACAAGTCTTCCAAATTATTTAAAATTTGATTTTTGCTGAAATTTTATACTGGCTTCATATTAATATATGATGTTTGCCTATGACATGATGCGAAAACACCGGAGTAGCGCAACCACAGTTGTTATTAGTGTAAATGCTCTTAATATGTTTGGCTATCAAGACTCGGCTATGCCATACAGTAATATTCATAAACACCATATTATACAATAATTGATTATTTTTTATATATTAAGTTTTTATTATTATATTCTTATATCAAATACTATAGAATTAATTACTAAATTTAATTACTTAAATTATATAGAATACAATTATAAACCTTAGATAACTAATTATACAAAATTAACTAGAACTATTAACTAAATTTAATTACATATTACTTATAACTATTTAAAATAAAATTATTTATAAAAGGGTGAATAATATTATTTATTGATAATTTTTCTAATCATTCATAAATATTATTAGACTAATATTTTTACATAAATATAAATTTTTACAATTTTTTTAATTTATTTTTAAATTTTGCATTATCTTGGCTAATTTTTAGTAGCCACTTTGAGTTCTTATATAATAGAACTTTTATTAAGAAGTCCAACAAAATTTCGCGATGGCTCCCGCACATCGGCTCCTCAAACCAATTTTCGCTTTGTACATTTTTTTTCATTTCTTCTTTTATGCTATTTATTATATTTTTTTTAATGTCATTTACATAATAATACTTTTCAAATATTTTTTTAAAAATTTCAAAATGTAAAACGCACATTTTATAGAGATCGTCCGAAGGACTTTTTAGTAAAAGGTGTATATTGAAACATCAACTTGGGATCCAATTTTAGTTCACATACTATTAAAAAAATTGGATAAAAATACACATTGCAGTTTTGAACAAACTCTTACCAACCCAAAGGAGATGCCCACAATAAAACAATTCTTAGAATTTTTAGAATTGAGATTTCAGTCACTTGAGGCTATAGTATAGCCTCAAGTGCAGTATATAAACCCAACAAAAGGATAGCCGTAACTATGGTTTGTTCAGATCTATGTAAAGTTTGTAATACAGATAAACATCCGATCTACTATTGCAAAAAGTTCATTGAAATGACTCCTCCTGAACGATTAAATTGGATTCAACGACAAAAACTATGTGTGAATTGTTTCAAATCCGATCATAAAGCAAAGGTTTGTGAAGCTGGATCATGTAAAAAATGTGCCAAGAAGCATAACACTTTGCTCCATTTAGAGCAACAGTCACCTAAACCTTCAAGGGCACCAGCAACAAACACAAAGTCAACCACAACATTGATCAACGCTAATGAATCGCCATCCATAACAGCAACAACTAATGCAAAGTGTACTCGTAATTACGTTCTGCTAGCCACTGCAAAAGTGCGCATTATTGCAAACAATGGACGAACGTGTGATGTTCGTGCCATACTCGACTCAGGGTCTCAAGTGAATCTAGTAACCCAAAGAGTAATCAACAAGTTATCTTTAATTACCACAAATTCAAATCTATCGATCGAAGGTATTGGCCGTCAATTCGGGAACTCAAAATCTCGCGTAAATGTTGAACTGCAGGCTACTAATGGAAGCTTCAGGACGAGACTAGAGGCATTTGTATTGCCACAAATAATATCAGCACAACCGTCACGAGACCTAGATATCTCGGATTGGCAGATCCCACAGAATGTAGAATTAGCAGACCCCAGCTTTAACAGATCTGGAAGAATTGACATGCTGATTGGTGCTGAATTCTATCATACTCTACTTCAACCAGAACAATTGATAATAGGAAAGAATTCGCCACTGTTACAAAATTCGGTTCTAGGTTGGTTGGTGGTTGGTAAGACTAAAACTACAACAGATATTAAACCAACATGCGCTATTACTACAGGAGAAGTTGGTGAAATGTCAGAAATGATAGAACGATTTTGGAAATTAGATAACATTGAGACTGCAGAAAGGGTTTTGACTTTATCTGAGAAATGGTGTGAAAATCACTTTACAAATCATGTAAAGACAAATCACGATGGTCGTTTCATTGTACGCTTACCTTTCCGCGATGATCCCACGACACTTGGTAGATCGCGTGAGATAGCATTCAATCGATTTTGTTCTCTGGAAAGGAAGTTACAAAGGGACCCAAATTTATACAAGGAGTACATAAAGTTCATGGATGACTACGAGTCATTAGGTCACATGGAAAAGGTTTGCCCGAAAGATGTCAAAGGAGCACAATATTTCATTCCTCATCATTGTGTCTTGAAACCTGACAGCACTACAACCAAATTGAGAGTTGTCTTTGATGCATCAGCAAAAACATCAAGCGGTTTAGCACTAAACGATATTTTGCACAAAGGTCCAACAGTGCAAAGTGATCTTTTTTCAATACTGTTGCGTTTTAGAATACACCGGTTTGTATTTACGGCCGATATTGAGAAAATGTACCGGCAAATTCAAGTACATGATGAAGATACAGCACAGCAGCTGATAATCTGGAGAAAAAGTGCTGATGATAGTATACAATATTACCGACTGAAAACGGTTACGTATGGAACAAAGTCAGCCCCTTATCTTGCAACAAAATGTCTTCAACACCTTGCGAAACATAATATGACCAACTATCCGCTTGGAGCACCTGCATTACTTAATGATTTTTATGTAGATGACTGTTTAAGCGGAACTAACAGCATCATTACCGCCTTAGACACTCAACAACAACTTTCGGAACTGCTCAGTAAATCAGGATTTAAACTGAGAAAATGGTGCTCAAATAATACACGACTACTACAAAACATTCCGATAGAAGACCAAGAAATCAACCTTGATTTAGATGACTCAGCCATAAAGCCAACAAAAACATTAGGCATTATTTGGCTCCCGAAATCAGACGAATTTTGCGGAAAGGCAGAGATGTCATCAGAGCAACCTATCACGAAGCGGATTGTGGCATCGGACTTAGCTCGAATTTTTGATCCTTTGGGAATTTTTGGCCCCATTACTGTAACAGCTAAAATATTCATGCAGGAATTGTGGCAACAAAACTATTCCTGGGATGCGGAACTGTTACCTCAGGCTCAGCTAGAATGGAAGCGGTTTAGAACTGACTTACAAACATTAAATACTGTGAAAGTACCCAGACATATTTTTAATTCGAAGGTTCCCTGTTCGATTCAATTACACGTGTTTACGGATGCATCAGAGAAGGCATATGGAGCAGCTATGTATGTGCGAGCAATATATAATGATAAGACAATAACATCGAGACTATTGTGCGCCAAATCTAGAATAGCACCATTAAAGAAACAGACACTTTCACGACCAGAACTCTGCGCAGCATTGCTGGGAGTCGAATTAGCAGAAAGAGTTAAACAAGATTTAAGTATCAAAACGTGCCAACCTACTTTTGGTCCGATTCCAAAATTGTTTTGTCATGGATAATATCTTCATCTGCCTCATTGCACACATTCGTAGCAAATCGTATTAGCAAAATTCAAGAGATGTCACATGCTGATCAATGGCATCATGTGGCATCAAAGGATAATCCTGCTGACATCATTTCCAGAGGAATAAAGGTTAAAATGTTCAATTATTCACATATATGGTTTTTTGGTCCACTCTTTCTTCATGGAAGCAACGAATTTTGGCAACAGCCAAACCCAAAGGCATTTAACATCTCAACTGATATCGAAAGACGACAAGGACATACAGTTAACATTATCATTCAAACGACTAGTTCTGATCACATGATAAATCAAATTGATCATCGAAACTCATTCAGATACCTCCAAAGAACAATTGCTTATGTTCGCCGTGTATTTCATCGCACACAATCACCAACAAGAACACTTTCTCCAAAAGAATTACGAGATGCATTAGTCTTCATAATTAAAACTATTCAGGGCTCAGAATTTGCAAAGGAAATCTCTGATTTAAAACAATGTAAAGCAGTCAACAGTTCGAGTCAACTAAATACTTTAGCACCGTTCATTGACGAACAAGGTGTACTTCGTGTTGGAGGAAGGCTTGAAGCATCAACATTGCCATATGATGCTAAACACCCAATGGTAATTCCTTACAATCACTCAATAGTGAAATTGATGTTCAAAATGAAACATGAAGAAAATTCCCATTGTGCTCCACAATTATTGCTAAGCATAATGAGACAAAACTTCTGGCCGATTAAAGGAAAGATTATGTCGCGAAACATTGTTCACAGCTGTGTCATCTGTTCAAAGGCAAAACCAAAACTGATGGACCAACTCATGGGCAACGAGTTACTCTGACTAAACCATTTTTTACCACAGGAGTTGATTACTGTGGTCCGATATGGATTCATTATAAAATTAGAGGAAAAAGGCCAACAAAGGCATATTTAGCAGTATTTTGCTGTTTCGCGACTAAGGCTGTTCACCTAGAAGTGGTGAGTGACCTGACAACAGAGGCATTCATAGCCGCTATTCAACGTTTTATCAGCAGAAGAGGAAGATGCCAAACAATTTATAGTGACAATGCGACTAACTTTGTTGGTGCGAGAAACCAACTACAAGAGCTCCAGTCTACCATTTATTCAGAAAATGGTAAAGAAAAGATCATTAAGACCAGTAGTAACAAGGGAATTGACTTCAAATTCATTCCACCAAGAGCTCCTCATTTTGGAGGACTCTGGGAAGCTGCCGTCAAGTCAGCTAAACATTTAATGATTAAAGGAATTTTCAACGCTTCATTGACTTATGAAGAATTGGCAACAGTCATAACTGAAATAGAAGCCATGTTAAATTCAAGGCCAATAACAAAAATGTCATCCGATCCAAATGACAGCGCTTACACCAGGACACTTTCTCATAGGCGATCCACCTACCACTAATGTAGATCCTTATCAAAAGGAGAGCCGAATGAGTTTATCATCACGATGGCGTTTAGTTTCTGAACTCAAACAAGAATTCTGGAGAAGATGGTCAAAGGAATATCTCAATGAACTCCAATCAAGGTACAAATGGAAACAACACAAGGCAAATCTATGCCAAGGTGATTTAGTCATTATTAAAGATGATAATCTACCCATGTACAAATGGCCTCTTGGCAGGGTGCAACAGGTGTATGAAGGAGAAGATGGTTTGGTCCGTGTAGCTGACATAAAAACAGCCAATGGGATTTTTAAACGACCATTACGATCATTGGCCCCCCTACCCACTGAAGGCAGCATTAATCAAAATCCAACAAAACAAAATTCTACTGTCACACAAACAAGACGAACGAATGAACCTAGTGAAGCGTTGCCAAAGCGTCGAAAGATATATGATGGTACATCTTTAATGATGACCATACTTGTGACAATTTTGATGATGCCATTAATACTTTCGGGACCCATTGAAGAAATATCATTTCCAAACAAACCCGGAATATATTTTGAAGGAATTGGCACCGTAAATCAAATCATTGGAAGATGGAAAATTATCACTTACTTTGAGTTCGCGCCTATTCGAAAGGAGATCGAAAGGTTTCAAAATGGCACAGCAGCACTTCAGCAATTGTGTCCATTGTTACAGCAACAAGAAAGCTGTTATGAGCTCGTCCGTCAATTCAATAATACTAATATAGAGTTACGAACTGAAACGAAGGTCATGACGAGACACCGATCAGCCAGAGGAGCCATCAATATAGTTGGAAATATTGCTAACAAATTATTTGGTGTTTTAGATTCAGAATATGCTGAAACGATTTCTAAAACTCTAACTCAAATCAACAATAATGAAGATGTACTATCAAAAATGATCAAAAATCAGACTACAGTCATGGACTCAACTCTAAATATATTCAGCAAAACTACAGAAGCCATTGCAGTCAAACTGAATCAACTACAAGATGAGACAAACAAAATAGTAGATCACACTAATCATAATACTAAACGTATTAACCACCTAGAGATCTATACATCACTGGTAACCCAACTTACATGGATGGCACATACATTAATGAAAATTGAAGCTGCGATATTTGATGTCTTAACTGATACTCAGCATGGCAGAATTAATTCTCTTTTGATGTCTCCACAACAACTTCAAGACCAAATCATGAAGATCAAGGGCCATTTACCTCATTCACTTCGTCTTCCATTTAATCAAGAGGATGTTATTCATTTATACACGTTGATGTCTTCACAAAGTGGAATCACACAAGATCATTTGATAGTTGTCTTACAACTGCCATTAACCGATCATGAGGATTTCGATTTATTCAATCTCGTCCCAATTCCTGCAACAGTCAACAATACAATGATGACAATAGTTCCAGAAGCTTCATTTTTAGCTGCCGCGCCACATAGAGACCAATATTTTGCCTTAACTCGTGAACAGTATAAGGAGTGTATGATTTTCAAGCAACCAGAAAACAAACTACTTTGTTCAGATAAACAATCAAAATATAACACCGGCTCACAGGTTTACGCTTGCGAATTTAACCTATTAAAAAACATATCTAACAATACGTGTAATGTGCAGGAAACAAAATCGAACATTATTTGGAGTCCCCTGTATCATGCGAACCAATGGATATTCGGGTCAAAAAACAATACAACAGTTACGGCCGTCTGTAAGGGCATCACGACTCATTTAGAACTACAAGGTGCAACACTTCTGAAATTACAAGACGACTGTGTACTCAAACACCAAACGTCTACAATTCAGACACATCAAACTCTTACCGACACCATGTATGAATCTTACATTGCATTTGGTGAGATACCTGTCATTAATAACTGAGAGTTATGGTCAAATTTTAAAGGAAGTTCATTGAATCTCAGCAATGAACTTAAACAGTTAAAGCTACTTCACAATACTCTGAAAGATGAAAAATTCGCTGAATTACCACACAAACTACAGACGGACAGCATGCACCACTACGCAATTAATTCCACAACCCTAATTCTTGTCGTTGGAGCCATCATATGGATGATATGGAAAATAAAGCAGGTAAAGCGTCCAGAAGTCAATCAGCCAACACAAACTCTCACACCAAACGCGATGCCACGAACAAGATTTACTTTGGAGCCTGAAACAATTACATAGCTTCTCAAATTCTCATGATGCTATAAACTCTAAATTTTATATTCTTAAGTTTATATAATATTGTATAACTATTTATTGTTTAAAAATTATATGTGTATTTATATATCCACACAATGTTGTAATTATTTTTTTTATTTTTTTTTTTAATTTTTAAAAAAAAAAACACACATAATGCATTGCAAATCAAATTAATCATTGCTCATAGATTCATTCTTGAATAACGTAATTCAAGCCGGGCAGAATGTTAAGTTTAACAAACCTAACATATTTTAGCTCGCTTGTAATCACGCTTATGCAGCAAATAAATATTGTAAATATTTACGTTTATAAGTTCAATAACTTCACATATTGTATTTATGCTTATGCAGCAATATGTGAAATTTTAATTATTATTTTAGTCACCAATAATTGTAATTATTAATATGCTTAGTAAGTAATTTTATACTATATAAGG